CTGGACCGGCCGCGCTGGCCGAATACCTCGGGCTGGAGGGCTATGAGCACACGAGGCACGTGGGCCTGCTGAAGAGCCAGGCAGGGGTCGACCAAAACGTTGTTTTGGCAATCTCGTGAATCGTTTTCATGCTATCTTCGCTTTCGCTTTCCTTTGATTTAAGGATTCGCCATTGGCCGACCACGGTCTCGGATTTGCAGCAAAACGCTGTTTTTGGCATTCGGTCGGACCGTTTTCGCTTCAAGCTCAAAAACGCTGTTTTGGCCGACCCCTGTGAGCCAGGCCCAGTGGTGGTCGCCCCAGACAGCCTCGCTGCACCTTGCCAGGCAGCTGGCCCTGGCGAAGGCCGCGGTGAGGGCGGCGATCAACCAGAGTCAGGTGGATCTGGGCCCGCGAGCAGGCGGCTTCGGATGCAACTCCTGCTAGGATCAGCGTGGGAGCTGCTAAGAGGATAGAGGATTATAAGGGGATGATATGGTGAGTGATCTATCTGGCCTAAACTGGCTTATAAGTGGGTTACAAGTGCCCTGATTGGCTGATGAGGGTTGACGATCCAGCTCCGCCTACTTAGCGGAGTTATTGACGCCTCCTCAGCAAGTTGGGGCACGTGTAGCCCACGTATCGGCCACGTCAGGCCAGATATAACCCACATTCACATCAAATGATGAGCCCTTCGATCCCCTTAGCTACCGCCGCGCCGATCCCAATTGAAGCCGAAATTCGGCATCGGCGTTGGTATATCTGTGGTCGAATGACGGCCTACTCTGGCATGGCCCCGCTTAGTTCCGCTGAATCTCTCTATTGATCCAGTTAGATCGGGCCGAATACTGGGCTCAGTTCGGCTTGATCGGGCTAAGAGTTAAGTCAGGGCTTCACCCTGGGCTCAAAATCCGATTCAATTGCGTTTTAATCGGGCTTAACACTACTTTCAATCGTCCTTGCGAAGACCTCCCTGGCAGCGCAGTGCCAGAGAGCTTCTTCAAGGATCTGCGGCACTGTTATTAAACCTCCGAAGCCATTAGGGGCACGTGTAACCAAGTTATCGACCGTCAGATTTTCCCCACATTTGCATCAGATAACCTCCTCCATGCCCTGAGCCCCCCCCGCGCCGATCCGAGTGGGAGGCTAATTTCGGCATCGGCGTTGGTTTATCCGTGGTCGAACAGCGGCGTACTCCGGCATGTTACCGTTTAATTCCGCTGAGTCTCGTTTGCTCCAGCTGAATAGGGCTTAAGCCAGGGCTTGATCCCAAGCTGAATCCGACTCAGTTGCTTTTTCATCGGGCCGAATAGCCTTCTCTTCAGTTTTTTTTGCGAAGACCTCCCAGGCAGCACAGTGCCAGAGAGCTCCTTCAAGGAGCTGCGGCACTGCCTGTTCTTCGTAGCCGAATACTTTTTGTCTCTGGCGGCCTTGACACAGCAGCTAAGGGGCCACGCCGGGCGGGCTGCCCCAGGCCGCGAGGCTGAGCTGTGGCTGCTCCTCGCAGACCTCAAGGGGGCGATCTTTGGGCACAGTGACTCTTGCAGGTGCATGCAGGATGGCGAATACTATTCGCGGCTTTCAGCATTTTTGGAATCTGGCGGTGTCGGCAGGCGAGACTATGTGAGGACGTTGCTGAACGGGTCGTCCCCAGAGTTCGCGGTGCTGCTGGCTCACGACTGCTCGCACTCCGGCTTCTCCCTTGAGAACCTGGAGCCGGGCCAGACCATGGCGATGATGTTCACCTCCAGCTGCGTCCCAGGGGACGTTGCACTGCGGCTGCTGATCATGCAGAATTGCTTGCTCGAGCAGGATATCTGGATGCCTACGGCACATTCCGCCACAGTGCAATGGGCCAGTATGTAGGCTCGGGAGGGGGGGGGGGCGGGCGATGCGCGTCCCGCTGTGCGACTGGGAGGTGGGGTGGCCTTGCTTGGATCGGCGCGGGGGTTGCTTAGGGAATGGGGGATTCCCTATGGATGCCAAGGTGGGTTTTGTCCGGCCTAACCTGGCCGATAAGTGGATCACAAGTGCCCGAAGTGGCTCATGGTGGCTTCGAGATAATTCCGCTAATCCTCTCATGTCGCTTGTGGCATTTGCAACCTACTTCTAAGTTAGGTTAGGCCACATGTATCCCATCCATGCATCCACAACTATTCCCTTTACTCCCTTAGCAGCCACCGCTCCGATCCAAACAGAAGGCTTACATAGTCCCTACCAAGACAGCACTTGGCAGTCTGCCACGCGCACACTGTGCATGCACGGTGGCGGATCGGGAAAATGCTGCTGCTGGCTGACACCATGTTCAGGATGTCGGTGTTGATGGTCGACTGCTTGGATCCGCTGTTCTGGGGCTTTTCTGTGCGAGACTTCGCCGTGCAGTATGGGCGCATCATGTGGGAGATGCACCAGGCTGATGCGACATCCACCGACCCCTTCACATTTTGAGCTTGTGGCGTCCCCTGCTAATTGGGACATCGTATAACGAGGAGGAGGAGGATGAGAGGAGGAGGAGGAGGAGGAGGAGGAGGAGAAAGGAACGATGGAAAGGAGTAGGAGGAGGAGTAGCAGGAGGAGGAGGAGGAACAGCAGAAGGAGGAGGCTGATTATGAGGAGGAAGAGTGCAGGGAGGCTGGAGAGGAGAGAGAGAGAGAGAGACAGATGAAGAGAGGACGACGATGATGATGATGATGCTGATGATGATGATGATGATGATGATGGTGATGATGATTCTGATGATGATGATGATGATGATGATGATGATGATGATTATGATGATGATGATGATGATGACGATTGGGGAGGAGCAGGAACAGGAACGGTATGCTATTTGTATTTCAGTACATAACTAGTATAACACACATAGTGTATACACTTATCCTAGTTACAGACAGTAGCCATATGAGTACAGTTTGAATCATATGGATGTAAGTCGCTGATTGACTTTGGGTATTTGCAATGGTTCTACCACTATGAGATATGGCATATACTCATACAGTGCACATATGATATGTGTTCCCACTACACATATGAACGCATTATAAGCACACACGCGCACATTTATGTACAGCAAGAGATTTACACACCTTGTATATACTTATTTCATTATTTAAGAAGAGGTAGTCGGGATAGACCATAGGGAAGAAACATGACATGTACATATAGAGGTCGTATATGTGGTAGAGAACAAACATGATTTACACAAGCATGTAGGTTTAGACGTAGTTGCATACATATGCACATACACATCCATATACATATTTATACATATATACATAGATATGCATCATGAGAGAGATAACAACAATATAGACATAGGGATACATACATACATGTATAGGCATATGAACATATGCATACAAACATAATAAAAAAGAGAGAGAGAGAGAGAGAGGGGGAGGGGGGATCCAGAGATGGGCAGGTGTCGTAGTGAGTCCGGGAACGTCGCGGGGCTTTATGGGAACCCTTGGGCTGTCTAGGGACCCGCTTGTGGCCCTCTTGAGCCCTTCGAGCGCCTCCTGGGGCCCTCTGTGTGGCCGCCTCGGGCTCCTCGGGAGGCTCTCTCGGGCTGTCTTGGGGCCCTCGTGCCGCCCTCTGGGTGCTGTCTGGGGCCATGGCAAGTTTTCGGCCCTTCTTGAGATGTCTTGGGGCTCTGATGCGGCCGAACATGCTGGCGACTTGCTCGTATGATCGTGGGATGAGTTGGGTGATCCCGATCCGATGCACATTCCGATCCGACATGGTTTCAGGATTCGATTCTGACTGATCCTATCTTCTCGCCGGAGCCTGTTTCGTTGTCTATCTTCTCGCGATAAAGCCGCCACCTGGGGAGGAGGGGGGATTGAGTCGGTAACGTCACGATTCGCGCCGGTGCCGTCTGGGTTGGGCTACCCTCCTAGCCAATCTCATAGGCGCCGGCGCGAATCGTCACGTTACCAGGTGGTTGGCGTCCCAGTTAACAGGCGTTATCGCGAATGGTTACAAGCGCGCTCCTGGAGGTGTCCTTCTGGTGGTGGTGGTGTCCTCCGAAAAAATTGCAACTCGTGAGAGATCGCGGCCAGAGCCGTAGATCCCACCTTTCTGCAATATTTTTGGAGCCGGATCGATCTGTGATGGTCCTGGGGCCTGGATCCTAGCAAAAACGCCCGTTCAGGAAAATTTGCATCCCCTAGTGTCAGGGGGTGGTGTCGCCTCCTCCCTCCTGGCCAGGACGGAGCCAAGAGGCTTTGGGTGCCGATCCGGGGCAGATGTTGAAGGAGAGGGGCGGTCATCTTCGACGCTGGCGCCCGAGGCCCACCCCTGCGGGCCTCTGGCCTAGTCTGGCTTACAAGTGGGTTACATGTGCCGCGTGCCTGAAGTTTCTTAAGGGGGCTTCATAACTCCGCTAAGTGATCGGAGTCCACGTTGCCCAGACCTAACCCCCTTGAGCCACTTGGGGCACTTGCAACCCACATCCGCCAGGTCAGGCCAGATATAACTCACATTCGTATTCACTTTTGACATCTCTATCGTCTAAGCACCCCCCGCGCCGATTTAAGTCGTTTTCCGTCCGGGATCCATTTTTAACCGTCCTACGGCACGATAGCCCGCCCCAGAGGCCTAAATCAAAGAAAAGGGCAAGGGTTTGAAAAAGGCATTCCGTCGGAGCTCTGGGGGCCAGGTCGACGCTGGGGTGTCGGACACACCCGAGAGAGCTCACTTGGCTCCTCCTCCTCCTCCTCCTCCTCCTCCTCTCCTCCTCCTCCCCTCCTCCTCCCCCTCCTCCCCCTCCTCCCCCTCCTCCTCCTCCTCCTCCTCGTCCTCCTCCTCCTCCTCCTCCTCCTCCTCCTCCTCCTCCTCCTCCTCTTGCTCCTCACAGGCTCACCAGAGTGAGCTCACCGAGGGAGTTTACGAGACGTCCCTCGCATTCTGACCTCCTGCCGGTGGTTCGGAAAGAAGTCACGCGCTCACGCGTTGTTGCCCACGACTGTAGGGGGCAACGCTAGTGGGGATAGGCTCCTGGGCGGGCGCATCGACCCGCCAATCGCCCATTCATCGCCGAGAGGGGGCGGGCAGCCAACCCTGCCCAGGACCGTATCATTTCGCTATGGAGGCCTATCGCCGATGAGTCGGCGATGTATCGCCGATTCCAGACCGATGTTCCATCGTCCCCCCTGGAGCCAGCTCCCCTATTTCTTCTTCCCTCGCGACCGAATAGCATGATACTGCGCAAGCGGATTTCTTGAGGTGGCATTGGGCCCCACTGGCGGCGCTGGGCGGCGCCTCCGGCGCCGTCTCTGTCGCGATTCGCGCGTCGGCGGAGGGGGGTCCAGCGCCGACCCAAGAAATCCGCGCGGACTTCGACAGTTTATTTGCTCGTGCGGTTTTGTGCCCCCCTGGCGAGAGAATGGAGGAGGTGGATCTGTACAGCTGCTCGATTCCTGTACGCCCCCTTTCGTTCCGCTCTCGGGGTCAGCGCCGACCCAGGGAATCCTCATGGTCCTCCGAACGTTGATGATTACACAGCGACGGGCTAGCGAATTGCCATCTTCCTCTCCAAGCTGCACGAGTGTGGTTAATAGGAGGAGGAGGAGGAGGAGGAGGAGGAGGAGGAGGAGAGCTGGAGGAAGAGGACCGAATCTGAGCTGATTGTCCACGGGACAGAAGACCCCTTCACGCCGGCGCCCCCGGCGGGGTGGCGAACCGCCATCCTCCCCTCTGGCGGCACGAGCGTGCACAGGCCGCTGCTGAGGTGCCCCGCCCGGGGAGCAACACAAGCGGCATAAAGTCTGGACCTCCCAGATGGGGTCCGAGTAGATGTGGTCGAAGGATCGCTCCGCATCGACGATGCATCGTTGATGCGGCTCGATGTAGGGCCCCGTTGTCTCCACGCCTACGTCGCCGATGCATCGCTGACGTCGCCGATGTATTCGATAGTCTTTAGAGTGCATTTGTGTGCGCTAGCGTCTGGTAACCGATGAGAGAGCGCCGACTTAGCGTCGATTTAGCGTCGACTAGCGTCGATGAGTGTCGATTAGCGTCGGTTACCATCGGTTCGCAAGAGCCAGCAAGATGACATGGGAAAGTTCCTATGAGTTGCTACAGTACATGTGTCGCCGATGTGTCGACGATGCGAAGGCGGGCGGTGCATCAGCGATGCGGCGTGACCCTCCGACCTCATATACTCGGACCCACGTGGGGGGGCCTCTAATTCTTGGATCTCTTCCAGGACCGTGTGGCTTTTTTGGGCCGGCACTGGGCCCCCTTCCCGGCGCGCGAAGCGCGCCAAGGGGTGGCGCCAGAGGCGCCGCCAGGGGGCACCAGGCGCCAATCCAAGAACTCCGCGCAGACCTCCGAAAGCTTGTGCTCGTGCCGACGTCTGCCCTTCCCCAGTCGGACGTTGCCAGAGGTGCTCTCGTGCCCAAGGTGCTCCCAGGATGTCGAGGCCACCGGGGCCTCCAAAGCGCCCCTCACGAGGCCCAGAGGACCTCAGGGGCCTCAAACGGAGCGAAAAGCTGGGGACACCTTGGTCATGGGCCACGTTAGGGAGGGAGGCTCAGAGGGGGATGCCTCGACCCCCAATCGCCTGTTCATTGCCGATGGGCCCGATGGCCCCACCCGCCCATGGCCGTGCGGATTCGCCGTCGAGGGCCCATCTCCGATCTATCGGCGATGCATCGCCGATTCCAGGGTCCCTCCCCCCTGGGCCAGTCCCCCCGTCGTTGCCCCTGACTTGGGCCAGGGGTGACCAGCGGCGACCCAAGAAACCCGCGCGGGCCTCGGGTAGCTTATGCCTTTCCAGGAGGAGGAGGAGGAGGAGGAGGAGGAGGAGGAGGAGGAGGGAGGAGGAGGAGGAACAGGAGGAGGAACAGGAGGATGAGGAGGATGAGGAGGAGGAGGAGAAGGAGGAGGAGGAGGAGAAGGAGGAGGAGGAGGAGGAGGAAGACAAGTGTAGACCCAAGACGCATCAACGATACATTCTTGCAATGTGCCCTCCCTGCAAGTTCCCTTTTCACAGGCCCCTACAAGGTTCCATTTTACAGGAGGACTTGTTCGGTTGGAAAACAACCAATTGAACATTTCGAAGTGTGCTGTGCCCGGCACGACAGCGATAAACACATTTTGATTAGATACCGCCCTCCACCCGGGAAGTTCTTGCAATTTGTTAAGACGGATGTGCGCGACGCTCAGGCGAGATATTTTGAAAACCGCCCGCCCCCCACCCGTGAAGCTTTCGCAAGCAATTGTTTAAGACGAATGTGCGCGGCACTAGGGCGAGAGCCACATGAAAAAAAATGGCCCGCCTTCCATGCGTCAAACTTTGGCGCGCGGCGCTAGGGCGAGAGCCACATCTCCTGTCCTCCGTTCGTGAAGCTCTTGCAATTTGTTAACACGAATGTGCGTGGCGCGAAGGCGAGAGCTACATTTTGAAAACGGCCCGCCCCCTATCCGTGAAACTGTTACAAGCTTTAAGCTTCAGGATCACAGATGGTGATGAAGGATCAGGCGAAGCGCCTGGCCCGCCCTTTCGACCAGCCTTGGTGTGCGACGAGCAGGAGTTCTTCACAAGGAAAAATAATTGAGGAGAAGGAGGATGATGAGGGGGAGGAGGAGCATAATGTGGAGGAGGAGGATGAGGGTGAGGTGGATGAGGAGGTGAAGGAGGATGAGCAGGCCGAGCAGGAGGAGGAGTCCGACGTCGTTGTCGTCGGAGGAGCACGAGTAGAAGGCGGAGGAGGAGGAGGAGAAGGAGGAGGAGGGGGAGGGGGAGGGGGAGGGGGAACATGATCAGGAGGTGGAGGAGGATGAGGAGGAAGAGGAGAAGGAAAGGGAGGAGGAGGAGGAGGAGGAGGAGGTGGACGCACAAGGCCCAAGCAGAGCGACACGCACTACGACCACGACGACGACGCCGACGACGACGACGACGGCGACGAGGCGCGCGGACGATCCGCACCGAAGCACGGATTTGGGAAAGGGCCCACCCTGCAGGTTCGGTAAAAAGCACATCGCTGAGCAGTGCCGCAGCCTCTCCTGAGCACAGGCCCCCCCCCAGAGCATTAGCCAGACAAGGCGGGTTTGCACCCTCATACCCTGCTGGGCTCTGGGCGCGTTTCGGCACCCTCTCCCCCAGCCTCGTCAGTGCCACCGAGAAAGGGGGACGGCGGCGGTTGCCGACGCGTGCCCGAGCTAGGAGGCTCGAAGCGCCGCGGTTCGGAGAGCCGGGAAGACGGGAGGACGGGCGGGCGGACGGACGGACGGACAGCCAGGCAGCGTGCAATGCCTGGCAAGCCAAGTGGGTGGTCACTGCATGAGGGAAACAAGTCCCGAGCAGAGCAGCACGCACCACGACCACGACGACGCCGACGACGACGACGGAGACAAGGCGCGCTGACGATCCGCACCGAAGCACGGATTTGGGAGGGGGCCCAGCCTGCAGTTTCGTAAGGCGGATGAGAGGAGGAGGAGGAGGAAGAGGAGGAGGAGGAGGAGGAAGAGGAGGAGGAAGAGGAGGAGGAGGAGGAGGAATATGAGGCCGAGGAGGAGGAGGAGGAGGAGGAGGAGGAGGAGGGAAGAGGAGGAGGAGAAGGAGGAAGAGGAGCAGGAGGAAGAGGAGGATGAAGATGGTGATGATGGTGATGATGATGATGAGGAGGAAGATGATTAATACTTATACTAGTAATATGATTAAGATAATACTAATGCTGATACTACCACTATAATTGTTAATATGAATATTCAGACGAACACGGATAATCTTACTATTACTACGAATACGACAAATAATCATATTACCACTTCTAATACCAGCACGAATAAGGATACTAACAATACTAGTTATACTATTAATACGATTCGTATGAAGACGGATGCGAATCACACTAGTCATACTCATTCTAAGTAGTAAGAAGACAAACGAAGTAAGTGATAATGGTAATAACATTCATATTCATAGTAACACTAGCACCAATCGGAATACTTCTTCAACTGCTATTAATAGCGGTACTGGCAATATTAGTACGAGTACTATTACGAAGACGAAACAAGCAGCATATTACGAACACTAGTAATAACTATGGGTAATCGTAATATGAACACTAATAGTAATAAGATGAACTACCTTACTAACATTAAGATGACTATTAAGACGCATATTTCAAACATAATAATCATAATATTAGACACCAGAGACTAATACGTCTACGAATAGTATTAATAATACAAAAAGGAAGAATACGGATCATACTACTAGGAATGCCATTAATAATAATAATACGAATAATACTAGCAAATCTAGCACTAACATTATTAACAAAAAGAAGCATAATATTAATCACAATGCAGATAACAATAATAATGCTAATGCTAATGCGAATCGCAATCGTAATACTTACAATCAGAACCATCATAAGAGGGGGAAGAGGAGGAGGAGGAGGAGGAGGAGGAGGAGGAGGAGGAAACAGAGGCGAAGGAACCGTTTTTGCGCGTTCGGGCCCTTTGTCCTCCCCAGAGGCGCCTTGCGTGGCGGCACAGCCGTCCGGCTTCGGGCGCCTTCCGCGATGCGGCAGGCGGCGGCGCCCGCTGTGTCCCGCGCCATTTGGGTGGCCCTTTGCGCCTTGGGCTCGGCGGTCTGAGAGGGCGCCGAATGCACATACGCGCGTGTGTAGTATACTTATAGTGTGTCTATATATCGAAGACGCCTACTGCGAAACACTGCCGCCACCTGCCTTTTTGGAAACGCCTCTGTGGCCGAAAGTCGGACTAGAGCTTGGCCAAGGTATCGGACAACTTGTTCTCCCAGCCGTCGTTGAAACCTTTCGGGGGACACGTGAGGAAAAGGAGAAAGAGGAGAAGACGGAAAAAGGGAAGATGAGGAGGACGAGGACAAGGAGGAGGAGGAGGATGAGGAGGAGGAGGAGGAAAAGGAGGACGGAGGAGAAAGGGAGGAGGAGGAGGAGGAGGAGGAGTGAGGACGGAGAAGTGAGGACGGAGCAGGGAGGACGGAAGTAGGAGGAAGGAAGGAGGGGGGAGGGAGGAAGGATGA